CCACGTACTGTGTTTGAAATTCCGAGTCATTATTCGACAGATCCTGAAAGATTTCTGTTGCCTACAGAATTCCCAGGAGCCCTCGTTAGTCTGCAGTTCCACATGCACTTACAGGGCTGCTGATTGATGAAAATCCTTCTTTTCATGCAAGTTAGAGCTGATAAAAACACACCAACAGTTCAAAGGCATCTATCACCCATGTTCTTCATCAGCACAGGACCACAAACACTGCCTCAGTGCGTTTTCTTAACCAGTCTGAGAACTGAACATCAGGCAGTGTTTCCCATTTTCACCAGTACCAGTGAACTGCTTCTACATTAAAGCTCAGCAACACGTTGGTGGAAAAGAAGAAGTGAGAAATGAAAGAAAGTCTTAGGATGACAGAGTTGATGAAGGATGAAACGCAGACGATGGAGAGAAGAGAAAAAAAGATCCAAATTCATCCCGGGATTAATTACCTGCTACGGTGGTGGTTGTCGTGGCGATGGTGGTTGTTTTTTCAGCTGAAAATCAAACGCAGAAACACGTCACTGATACGACTCATTCATTAATTCAGAAAGTTTAAAGGATCCTTTGATGATTCCTCCGAGTGGTTCACAGGATAAAATCAGAGGATAATAACAGAAAGAAGACAAACAGTCTCGTTAATAAACACAACAAACATGAAAGTGTGAAGAAATCTGAGGTTTTGTAACAATAAATTTACCGGTGGACTCCACGAGGATCACCTCATCACTCTCCAGCTCGTTCCCGTAAACGGCGGCCAGGAGGACTTCGTACTCTGTCGAGGGGCTGAGTCCCTTTATCAGGTACGTGTTGATATTCCCGTTCACCAAAACCTGAAACAGACAGGTGACAGAAAAAGATGCTCAAAAATGTTTCACTCTAAGAGTTTCCTGATGAAACCTCGTTCTACAGAGTACATAAAAGCAAAGTCGCCATCAGTTAAGACAAAGATCAGAAGACACACAAAGGCCGGCGACGCCCACATCATCTCTCAGAGACTCACTGAGTGACAACGTTGACTTTTATCTGCTTTCACGTCTTCTCATATCTTAATGAAATCATTTGATTGGTGTTTATCAGGTTTAAAGACGCTGCCAGTCAACAACGACTGCGACAAACTCAGCACACAGTTATTAAACCTGACTGTGCTGGCAGGAGCAGCTTCGTTCGTTAGT